CAATTTTGAAGGTCGTGCCGTAGGGTCTACCGTATGCGAGCTGTCCGTTTCTTACTAGGGTTTGGACACGCGGCGCGGCCAGCCGCCCTGTGTTTCAAGTTTCAAATTTCAAGAACTACTTTTGGTATTTTCCAGATTTCAGTACAGTACAGACCGTCCGATAACCACATCTTTGCAGCCGCCGACTTTCTGCCGCACGATCGCTCTAACCTTCAACTGTCGGATGGCAGTGGAGCACAACGTTTTATGCGTCTTCCTTGTTGAATTCTGCCCTGATCGATCGAGGGGTTGCGCAATCTCCAGCTTTGAGGGATCCCTGCAGGCTAGGAGTAGGGCCGCAATGGATCTTGTAATCTTGAGGTCTCAATTTCTGCGCACTCCCCAGCCTGAGCTAGCTGAAGCAGCAGAGCTGAGAATCACTTCTGCAGGTTGCTGCAAGTTGAGCTTTTCCGTAGTACAAGGCAACAAGTAAACCTACTGGAAGGAAGTCTCCCGGAAGTCTTTATTCAATTGGGTCGAAGATCTTCTAGAAAACAGAAAGACAGCATTGTTCTTAGTAGGCTTTGGACAATCACACAAAGCTTGCTTGCGAGCCGTGGTGAACACAGGGGCCCGGCGCGTTTCCAAGCTTGAGGGGCTGATGTGTATTTGAGCTAATATAGGGCTAGCTGCGTGAGCTGGTGGTGTAACCGTTACACCACCATTGAAAGAGAACTTCTGACGGGCTTCTGACAAGGTAGGAGCGTGCTTCAGACAGGCTTTGGTAGACATGGGGAAGTGCTTCATGTGCTGCTTTTGCATCACCTTTTGGGGAATTTTCATCGCCTGGCTTCTAGCAATGATCGTGGCTCTGGCAGACCGCCCTCTTCTGCCTAGTTTGACGCCCCAGCCTGTGTCTTTATCAAATCTGATGGTCCTTGAGACGGACACTACAAGTGGCTCGGTCTTGGTGAACGCTGCCCGGGTTGAAGTTTCAATGGATGCACGCAACAAGAAAAAGCACAAGCTGAAAGTACAGGCCACGCTGGTTGAGGTCTCCTTTATGGGCCTCACTTTAGGCCGTGGGGTCCTGCCTCCAATCGTAGTGCCCGACAAAGAAACTGGAAAAGCAGCCGCTTCCATCGCCATAGAGAACGCCATCCTTACAGGAGATCCTGGGAGGAGCTTCAGCTCAAGTTACTCCAGTGGTCAGCTTTCACTTGCAACAACCTTCACAGTGCGCGGCACGCAAAAATACGCCTACTTCAGTTCGGCTACCTACTACGGGACGGTGAGCTGCAACCAGCTGATCAACGCAACAACGCTCGCTAGTAGCACGCCAGCCTGCCGAGGCAAAGTGCGTTGGGACTTTCCAGAATACCAGAGCTACTGAGGAGCCGCCAAGGCTCTTCAAAACCTGCAGACACCTGGGGACTTCAATGGGGAATTTCAGGGTTGGCCAAGGTGTTGCTACAACAGCTGATGAGAGGAAGTTGGTCAAAGTGGAGCCAAGACACACCATTTGTATCTATGTGGAAGTGGGTTGTACAGATTGATTCTGAGGTTAAGCTGCAGGAAGCAGGCAATCATTCGATGGTTCCTATAGCCGAGTTTTGCTAATTCTTCTCGCACGTTATACAGTGGCTTAGCTACAACGTCCAGCTAGTGCAGGTCCTCTGCTGTACATAAATTAAAACGCATTGGCAGCTTTTTGAATATGATAAGAATAAGTCGTATTGAGACTGGATGGTTCTGGATGCCCACTTGCGAGTCTTCCCTGGTCGTCCCTCCAGCTTGCCAGTCGATCACCGAGTACATGATACTCTATCAATCACATCATGACGTAACATTGAGATGTTGAGCTCAATTTCGGCATCAACGTTCAAGCTTTCTTTCAGACTCAAAAGCGAGTGCATGTGCATGAAGCATTCAAGTCTCGTGCCAGCAGCCTGGACCACTCAGTTTCTTTCACATCAATCACTGACGTAAACTCATGCACGCATTTTGATGATTGAAGATGGAAGATTCTGACACTTGCGCACGTACATGTTCGAAGTACATAGCTTCGGTAGATACCGTTTCAGAAATCATGAAGCATGAGGACACTGTCTCATGGCAACCGCAGGCACCAAGCGCCACTCCGCGGCGCCATACATTACCGGCACGCATGCTGATTGGACGGCGTCAAAGGACTCAATTGCAACCACTGTGTACGTCCCATGCAAGTCCAGCCGGATTCGATGCTGACCTTACTTTGCGAGTATCACAATGAATTAACGCACTGCCTCCGATGCTTAGCCCTGTGATTTGGGTTCCTGGCCTTTGCATCGTAATGCGTTCGTACTGACGTTCCTTTAAAGGACGTGGTCTGGCCGCAGCTAGAATCTTACTGAGTAGCGCGGGCGGCCTGCTGATCCAGGCTCAAGACTGTGCGGTAAAGTATGCGTAATTAGATGTTCAATGACCGCACAAGCTTTTGGTTGAGCAAAAAAAATATGTCGGATATATATGATGTTAACGAACTTGAGATGTTGACCGCACAAGCTTTTGCTCATGAACAAGAAAGATGATGTTAACTCAAAGATCTGGATTCCGTCGAGTCGATTATCCGATCTTCGATCATTGGTCGATGGTAACTTCTCATTTATTAACGCCCTTAGCCACATTAGAGCCATGGAGCACGGTCTCCGGCAGACCCGGGATAGTTTGTTGACTCTACAGCTTGCTACAGCTGTAAGTCATGTCCGGACTCAATCTGACTCTACGAAAATCAAAGCTAGAGTCCTTCAATGAACATATGCATAAGCGACACGTCACTACCATGCGATTACGTTCAATTCGATCAATCATGATCATCGATCATCAAGCACCATATATGTGGGTCGAAGGTCCAATCTCACCGCGCGTCAACATACATGCAGACGTGAATGCACTCACTGAACGTGACCGCGGCTTCTGAGTTTTTTCTCAAGTTCCAATTAAGCTGATAGTCATCCCGGACAGCTTGTCTTGTCAAAGCTGAAATTGGTGTTATACTTTTGTTTGAAAAGCCCGGCCTAATCACTGCAATAATACAATTACAAGGACTACCAAGAAAGTCCAAGAAGCGAGATTCTGGGCGCGCCCCATTCGGACTCACGAAGCATTGGCGCTTGAAGCCTGCAACACTTCTTGCCTCCCAAATATTGGCTTGCCTCAATTTACTTTAGTAAAGAGAGAGCTATAGTATTCAGTGAGAGAACTTCGCGGTTCGGGCGCCACTATCATGACATCGCGGTGCAAGCCTGAGTACGACCAGTCTCCGCAAGATTTGTGTTGACAATCAATCGACGTTAAAACGTATGCAGCAAAAGCTGGCGCTTTGCAAACATTCGACTGCGGGCCCGCGCGCAGCGCAGAATTCTGCTTCGTTCTCGAATGCGCCCGCGCTGCCTCTCAACTGACCAGACGTAATGCTGTACTGCGGTTGCCAAAACTCAAACTTTGTCACTGCGCGTTTAATTGGATGATCATGGGGCCCGGGGGCAGCCTCAAGAGCTACCCGTGCCGGTTTGCCGCTACAAGTTTATGCACGAAGGTCGGGTAGCCGAACACCGGCCAATACTCAGCCAGTAACCTCGATAGATTCATTACCACGATTTTCATCGAGAAGAGGCAAGCCCCCGCCGCGTCAATCCCCGAGGCGGGCCAGTCATGTTGATGTGACCAAAGGAACATCATTTCAACCAATCAAAAATTGGTGTACTCAGAGTGGTCAAAATGGTGAACGAATGAGACATCTTCTTGACCGCTCGTCTCAACTGGATAGCCACGAGACGGAGCAGTGGTTGTGCAAACAACGACTAACAATTCAAGACAAGAATCCTTTGATCGTCCCCACTCCTCTGAACTCCGCTTGGAAGGCATATCTTACCAATCAACGTTCCTGTGCACTACGACACCTCCACCGAAACCTACATGGTATGCAAAGTGTTCGCTAACTGACATAATCGACCTAGCACTCAAAACTCTCCACTCTGCTGCTTGACCAGCTGACGGGGGGGCTCGATAGCGCTCTCACTATACACTCTCGGGATGTTGAACTCAAATCCACCTGCTTGGGAGGGCGCCCCCACTTGCGGAGCGATCATGGAAGGGGGCCGTGGAGGCTTCGAGGGGCTCAGACCTTCCGGAGGGCCAGGGCGACCATTCTCAGTGGTGTCAATGGGGCGTACCTCCCGGGGAATGCTGCACGGTACGAAGGTTTTCGTCAGCGGCGGATCCATCAACAGCAGGCCGGAGAGACGATACACAACGCCGAGGATACTTGAAAGCTCGGTCAGGTTTGGACAGGTCCTCCGATGCCACTTGAGGAAAAACCTCTCAATTCACTCCAGCGTGCAATAAGCAGCTCAGGCCAAATGACTCAGGCGCCAAGGGTGAGCAATCCTTCCACAGTCGGCAACACCTGTGTGCAGCTCAAAGCTGCTGTGACAAGATACACCTGACAAGTATGCACCGGTCACAAGCGCGAGGGACCTGATCAACCGTGAATCCTTTGTGACCCCCAATCTAGACACCAGCACGAAGTCATGCCGACCCGGAAAGGGTTCTTCAGTCCTTTCGATCGTTGCCCAGTCCCAATAGTCGCCTTGCAAACTCCTGGAAAGCGCTCAGAACAACGATCCCACCCCAGACTTTCCTTCTTTTTGTCGCTCTCGTGTCACAGCAACGGCCTTGCACACTTTGCAAACTTGTAGAAACACACAAAACCAAATTGCATATACTGAGACACTCAGAAACTAGAAACCTCACCTGTGTGCATTGTGGTGGCCCCCCGAGTGCGAGTGGTGGTGCCTGTGCTGCGACGACGACCTGTGGTGATGATGGTGATGATGATGGCTGACGACAGCGGGGGCAGCCAGGCGGGACGAGCTCTTGGAGCGGCCCAGCGAGGTGCGCTTGCCGGAGGGCCCTGCCACGGACCCGGTGGACGCGCGACCCCTGTAGAAAAACAAGGCAAAAGGTCAATACAAGGCCTTGGTGAATTGCTCTCATTTCAAAGTTAAGAGAGCCGAGCAGCCCAGCGAGGTGCGCTTGCCGGAAGGCCCTGCCACGGAGCCGGTCGACTCGCGGCCCTTGTAAGGAAAAAGAAGGATAGAGTTCAAAACAGGGCCTCGGCACAAAGTGCTGTGATTATGGGCGGTCGAGCAAGGTTCGAGAGCAGGAAGGCCCTGCCACGGAGCCAGTTGATGGGCGGCCCCTGCGAGAGGAAGAGAGAAGAAAACAGGCCCCGGCCAATTTGCTGTCGTTTGGGATAGAAGTTTTGAGCAGTCCAGCGAGGTGCGCTTGCTGAAGGGCCTTGTCACGGAGCCAGTCGATGCGTAGCCTCTGTGGCAAAAGATGGACGCAGGTCAATCACGGCCTCTGCCGAAACCGCTGCCCAAAAAGAGGCGCTTCGAGTTGTCCAGAGAGTGGCGCATGCCGGAGGACCCTGCCACAGGGCAGGTCAATGCGCAGTCCCCTAAAAGACAAAGCGACACGAAACTAAACGGCCTTTCAAAATTGGGCGCTGCCAAACGACGTTCCAAAAGGCAATGCCGGCAGAAAGCTTCCACACCTTCATATTGGCAGCAACTTGCCTTCTCAGCGGGTGGCAGCAAAGCTCTATCAACCACTATGGTGTTCTCCAAACAATGCAAGGGCAGCAATAAAGGGACGAGGCCAAGCACACTCCACACATCCGAAAATCTCACCTGCGCACGGGCGACGACTTCCCGTGGCCCTTCTCGCGCTTGGCGCCCCGCGCCCCCGCGTGGCTCTTGCCCAGCACCGCGCGCTCCATTGCCACGTCGCGGCCTGACAGCGTCTTGAGAGCTTGCTTGTTGAGGTACATGATTTGGGGGCAGAGTCCCACCATGAAGCGGCGGAGCTGGTCGGAGCCGACAGACGCGAGGACCGGGTTGCCGATGAGATTGAGAGCGTGAAGGGAGCTGTAGTTGGCTGCCAGCTGGCCAAGGGACTTGGTGGAGCTCAGCTTGTTTTCGCTCAGGTCCAGCCTGGAGGAAGAGGTGGGAAGATTTCAAAGGAAAGAACAAACCGGTTTCAGATCTAGACGTCGAAGAAGAGCGGAAGATACTCAAATGTGATGTAGAATCCTGCGGAGTCGGTCCGTTCAATGCTCAGGTGAAAGCCCGAGAGCGAACAACGAAACGAAGATAAACGAACGCATACAGACCAGTGCTTGAATATCAATCGATGCAGACGTATAACTGCAACTTCGATGCTGAAGACAAACCTGGAGCCTGCCCGAAAACAGGAAAATCTAAGAGATAACTATGCTCCTCAGAAGAGCACAAACGACTGCTCGTGAAGTCGGCCAGCACAGTGTCGACTTGGAGAGCTCGTGACTTCCAAAATCAAAGGAATTTGCAGGGACGCCTTACACTTGCAGCTTGAGCAGGCGGTGCAGCCCCTCGACCTCCCCGATCTTATTCCCACCCAGGTGCAGCTCCCTCAGCGACTGACACGTTGCAAGCCCGTGGCCGATGCGCACGATGCGATTGGCGTGCAGGTTGAGCACGCGCAGGCGGGTCAGCTCCCGGAGGCCCTCGACGGCCGTCAGCTTGTTGAAGGAGAGGTCCAGGTAATGCAGGCCTCGGGGGAGCACGCCAGACGGGATTTGGGCTGGATGAGCGAAGAGAAAGAAATGTTCTGTCGCAGCAGCTTGAAAGAACCTTACTTCGCACCTTTCCAATCTCGAAAGTGGCATGGGGGTCTGGAAACCTGACAAGGACAGTCTCCAACCTTGACTCAGAACGGCGAATATGTAGTGCTCTAGAGAAGTTTGCTGAATACTCCAAGGCCAGAAACAAGGGCACCCAAATTGCCGGTCGCAACAGTACAGTTCGTGTAAAGCACACACTCTCAAAGTACCCGTAGCACCTTGAGAGACAACCAACACAGCAACATGCTAAAGGTCGGTTATTGCAGGCTGATAGAACAAACATGAGCTGAGGCGAACAAAAACAGAAGTAACCACTCACCAATCGAGTTGCGGGACAGGTCCAGCGACTTGAGCGCCCCAAAGATGCTGAGCGAGGGCGGGACCATCTTGAGGCCCCTACCGCCAAGATGCGCCGTCGCCGCCCTGAGGTCCACCTCGCTCGCGACCGAGTTCGCGAAAACGACGTCAGCATTTGGGGCCGCTTTTGCCGGGACTTCGGCATCCCGGGGCTTTCCCGGCGCTTGGTTGAGGCTCAGCTCGGGGGGGTCAGGACCCAGGAGCAAGTTGCCCTCCCAGGACGGGGGTGAAGACGGCTCAGGCACACTTTCAGTCTCCGGCTCAACGTCCGACGGGGCTTCTGCGGGGTCAATCTTGCTAACCCACTCCTTAACCCACGAGAGCTCGCGGCGCTCAGGAACGGCTCGGAGGTGCTCGCGCCGGAGAAGTCCGGCGACGCTTGTTTCCACTGTGGGGAGAACAGCTGGCGCAACGGGATTGGCAGGCTCGACCGGCAGCGGACTCGCATCGCGCACCAGTGCACTGCCGTTGCTCGCGCGGGGGCTGCTGAGCTCAAGTGCCACGCCGCGCGGTGGTGGGGAGGTGGTCGGAGAGCCAGAACCACCCCCCTGTTTGTGCATGACCTCCCGGCGGAAGAACCACAGGGGCGAGCGGGACCGCTCGCTGTCCTGGCTCTGCTTCTCTGCCGCCATCCCCCTCCCCCTGAAAATGGATTCCTTCCGCTTCAGCGCCGCGGAGTCTGAGAGGGGGGACAGGTCGCGGCCCGACTTCGTCTCCGAGTCTGACCCGCTGCGGGGGGTAAGGTTGTCAGTCGAATCACCCCCCGAGTGCTTCTGGTGCGCCCCCGGCCCAAACACCTTCCACCACGGCTTCTTCTTGTGCTTCTCCTTCTCCCACGTCGCAACGAGCATCAGCGCCTCGTTATCACTCTTTGGCAGCTCGCCCTCTTCCAGCGGTCCCTGCGTCCAGGGGGTCTCGCCGCTCCCCCCCCCTCTGCTGGGGGGTCCCTCCTCGGGGCTCGTCACTTCGTTATGGCACCCCGGACCGCTCCCCTTCATCTCGCCTTCGGACACTTCCGGTCCGCTGTGGTAACGCAGACCCACATCACCTCCCCGTTCCGGCGTGCGCCCCCCCTCACTCCGATACCCCCCCTCGCTCCCTTCCTTTGTCCCGTAGAAGTCGGGCTCGTCATTCCTAAACCTTCCCCCTTCGTTTGCAAACCGCTCCTCTTCATCCCTCCCAAACTCGCTTTCGTTGTCCTCCCTCTCTTCCTCCTCCTTTCCTTCTTCCTCCCTCTCGCTCCCCCCCTCCTCACCACTGCTATCGCTTTCCGAGCCCTCAAGCACATCCACCCCCCTCATGTGATCACTGTACGCAGAGTCCTGGAACGAAGGACCGTCCTGGAACGAGGGGCGGTCAATGCCACCAAAGTGCACCCCCTTCTCGGTGCCAAACGAGCTCCCCGCCTCTGGAAGCCCCGCACCAACAGCAAGCTTGGGCGCCACCGCATTGTCCACCAGGGGGATGATTTTGCCAGAGGAACGAGGCCCCCCCAGGACATCGTCCAGCACAACAGGCACCCCCCCGACCTTCGGTGAGGGCAGCCCGTTGCTTAAGTCAGCAGACAGCTGATCCTTGGTGTCAGGATCCTTGGTGGGGGCAAGGCTGCTCTGCTTTGAGAGCGCAGATAGCTTGCTCTCAAAGGAAGGGCGCCTGGGACTGCTCTGCGCACTGCTGACCTCCTGAGGACAGGGAAGGTAAAACCAGGATAAGTACATGTCATAGACGGCGGGATCTGGGTGGAAGGACCTGCAGGTTCTCTAATCACTGCATCCGCCAGTTGAAACACAAGCACAAGACACAAATCGCGACGTTTGCTCTAAAACCAGCCCCGGCCCTGGGCTGAACAGGAGCCGTGCTCAGCAGCTTGTAAGCCCTGTCTACCAATTGACCAGACGGAACCTCCAAACCATCGAGTAGCACCATTGGTCAGAAGTAAGCGTGTGAGGAAGGAATTATTGCAACCAACAAACCTCCAACAAACCTGCTAAAATGCATGACAACGGTGCCTACAGCTTGATACATGATCCAGATTGGCTCTATCAGTAGCATCCAACTATCAAGCAGATCGGGCACACGCACGGAGCTCCCAGTCTAAGATGGCAAGTAAGCAACTACGCAAAAAAGTACCCCGCTCTCAGGCATTCTCAGGCAAATGCGAGCTACTTGGAGAAGGAGCCTTCTCAACAAAGAGTGCTCAAAGCAAGCAATGTAAGTAGCAAGAGTAGCATGACAGCGCACCTGCTCCTGGTTGACCCCATTTTGCTCCTTCTTCTTCGTGAACCTCGAAAACAACCCCATCTTGCCTGGTTTGATTCTCCCTCAACCTTTTCCTGACCCTTCAAAAACCCGTTTAACTCCGAAAACCCTTGTGTATACCGTTAACCCTGACGTTGAACCCCCGGTTACACCTTAACCAGATCCACCTGAAGTCAGCGGCCAACTCCCCCAGTTGGCCGCACCCTATGCACAGTAAACCCCGAACACGTCCCCAGCAGCCACCTCGAACGAGGCAGCGGCCTTCCAGTAGAGCACAGACAGCGCTCGGACTTGCGCACGGACACCCACCATCTGCTGGTAATGTTGCTGAGCACTGGACTAGCGGCAATGCCTGAACCCTGCTGCTTCAACCAACTGTCTGCCTAGCCCAGAGTGCAGACTGCTTTCGCCTGCAGATTGTTCTTGAACTCTTCAAACTCAGTTGAACACGAATCTGTCGCTTGCAAGGTGGCAAGCGAAGCCGGTACTGGAGAGGAGAGCACCTCGCTCCTGCCCCAGCCTTTCACGCGCTCACATCGATGACAGGACCCGACCCCCTCGGTTCGAGACGCGGGACCACAGGGAAATTAGCCGTAATCTACGGCAAGCCCCTGCACCATTCGGCGCACCCTCCAGACCCCGTCAACGCAAGATCGGGTTGGCTCAGCTGCAGCAGCTAGGCCAGACAACTGCTCCCATTCGCCACAAGGGCGTTCTGACATCCGATGAGACTGAGAGCCTGCCAGGGTGTCAAGATGGGGGAGCAAGAGAGCTTGGTAGAGCAGGGTCCAGATGGATTGGCAGAAAATTCAACCTGCAAAGAAAAACCAATACACGTGTCAATCTTTGCAAAGCCTTGCTTTCAAAATTCCTGGAGCTCAATGTATCTAAGCTCAAGTATAAAAAGGGCCTAGGATCCCTTCAACGAGTGTGACCAGTCGACTGTATTGACGACTGGGCCCATAAGGAAACATAACCAGCTGCAGAAGTGCAACACTGCAAGAAAAAGTTCCTCCATGATGCGACCAACGAGCAGATGGTCCTGGAAGGTGGACAAACACCACATGGCATGAACAACGACGGATGGCTTGTTTGCAGTATGAGGCAACTGTTGTCTACCATCAATCAGCATACTAGAAAACAACAATCTGATAGCAACGACACTCGGAACACAAATTAGTAACAAGACCACAGCTGCAAAAATGTTGAGCGGGCCGCGACGAGACAACTAACAGCTCTAAGCTCTTGAAAATGACAGCCTGCTTGATAGCAACCAACCAGACCGGCGAGAACTTGCATGACTAGGAAGAGTTGCATGGTCCTTGGAACCTCCTAGATTTGACCACAAGGCCTGTCAAAAGAAGAACTGCATGACCCCCAGACTGCGCCTTGACAAAACTCGGCTGGTATGTGTATAAGAAAGCGTTACCCAAGAAGTCTATGCCCGCATGTATCTCTTAGAAAACCAACATGGAAAACAGGAGGTTGTATCCATCTCGCTCTTCTTTGAAACATCCTAAACAGATCTACCGACAAAATCCACGTATCATCCTTGGCCAAGCTACTTTGCCTCTTCCTCTGTTAACCTTTTCCATGGCCGCCAAACATACACCCTCTTCTATACTTCTGCACATGCAAACCGGTCACACATCAGTGCACAGCGTACCTACCTTTCTGAAAAGCAAAGAATAAACGGCTCTCAAACCCACCTTTGTTTGGCGGAAAACATGCAGTCTTTGTCAACCCTTCCTTCCCTCTGGTTGCGCAAGAGATAACGCTTATTGCAACAGTTCGCAAGCAGCGAAGAGGATGCTTGGCGCGATGCTCGACAGAAGGCAAAACCCAAGAAGACAGGAGAGAACGCTGCAGAGGGCGGCGATTCAGGGAGAGAGGTGCAATTGTGTAGGGTCGCCGTCTCCTCCAATGCTGGGAAACCACGAAACCAGAGTGCGCGCGTGAGGTACCGCCTTGATTGATTACGGTAGTACCGGTACCTGTTCGATACCATGCGCCTGGTAAATGCAAGCGGCAGACGTGATCAGGTACGTACCGACCAGAACTTACAGGCCGGAATTGCACGCCGCGAATACCGTAAGGCGGAACATTCGATTTTTTTT